ACTCGGTATCATCGAGTACTGAAATATAAGTATCGGTACTCGATACAGAAAAAACGGTATCGGTGCATCCCTACCGTACACAGTGTAAGAGTTGGCAACTAGAAAAGAAGGACACTGTGAAAGGCATCAATAGCTCAATGACATACCGAGAGCCAAGGACACCATTATGACCTGTACTGCGAGACTTCCACATCAGTCAAGAAATATTTATGCTGTAGATAACAACAGATGAAGAGATTGGCTGGGGAACGTAAGGACAGGTGATTGAACAAGCGTGAAAGAGAGAAAACAAAGCGTGTATGGCTGCCCTTAAAGTGAACCTGTGCTTTACCAATTCAGAGAAAAGAAACAGGTTCCCTTGACTGGTGCTCTGCCCAAATGGCCTTCCTTTCACTACCCTTCTGCTCTATTCAGCTGTCAAGAGTGAAGAGAAGAAACCTTGTGCAAGCTTTAAGTTGCAGCTAGGAGTTTTTCCATGGCTGGGGACTTTCTTGCCATCCCCATGAAATGGCGATAGCTGCCTGCAGGGCTAATCCTCAAGCACCAACACTGTCAATTTGGGGTAAAGAAGAGTGAGTCATATGCTACTACATGCCTAAAAGTACCAAGTATTTTTAATTCCTTTCAGCAAAACAAGAAGTGGGCAATCAAAAGGAAGTTATGGGCTTCTTCTCTGGCTACCATTAAAGGGCACCTCTTGCTTTACCTAGGAATCCTGATATCCAATCACAGTCCCAGCACAAAGTTGATAAGATGAGGAGAACCTTGTACAGATAGCATACATGCATATCAACTGGCACCACTGCCACAAGGGACTCGGGTTCCATCCACGTGCAGCTGCTGTTTGGAAATTCCAATCTTGCCCAGGCTGCCAACACAGCCCAAATGGAAAACAAAGGTCCTCTATACACCACAAATAGATACACAAGATTGATGTGTTTGGTATCCATGCCTAAATCAAATTATCGTGACCAATTCCTGAAATTAAATATAATTTATTTGTATTTTTTTGGGGTGGGGATGGGAGTCCTTTATGTCCTTGGGCACGCCTCGATCTTGGGCTCTTGTTCTGCTGGCCTTGCCGGGCACGCATGGTTTGCCGCTCTCTGGGAACGGTAGGTGATATGACTGGTATTTCATTGTTAAATAAATTGGATGGTTGTTATCCTTTTTGGTATACTTACCTAATATGTGATTATTTGGGTCTCCTTTATCTACTGAGGATGCGCTCGGAACGCGAAACGCGTTGAGAACAATACTATTCCTGATATAAGAAGAGGCGTCTATGTGCTGTATGAGTACAAGAGTATGTTACATCAAAGTTGTGTGTTATGGTCATTTAGCCTCAGATTATAATTCTGGAATAGTTAATTTTGGAGATCAGTTTGCTCTTTCTTTCTTTGAATTATGTACACATCTATTATGTCTTTTTAAACATTTTTTAACCTTTGTATAATTAAGAAACCTCGTTTTATCATGTTGCAATTGCTTGGTTTATGTCACTTGGTACCCTAAGCCTTATGATTAAGCACCCATTGGTGCAAAACGCATCAGATCATTAGCTCAGACTTGATGTATTTGTGCCTTGATCGTAAATAAACTCCAATTATTGCATGACTACATCGAGGACCTTTTTTTTTTTTTCTTATTGCAGAACCTTGTCACAGACAAAGCAGATGTTTAGAGCTGATAATGCAACTTCATAGATGTCCATCCCTGAGACACCTTAGGAACCTGTAGGTTGGTTAACTCTCCAACATCTATCAAGAACAAAAATATATATTTGTTGTGTGTGGATTGACCCTTTAATGTGGCTTGGTGGCTGTGGCAAGTGTTCCTTGAACCTCCGAACACAGCATAACACACCTCAGGAGTGTGGCAAACAGTTAACGAACATCAATAAATTTTCTTCTAAAACCACCTACTTCATCCACTAGCAGAACATTTCATCATCCTCAGCTAAGCATATTTTATTTACGCCAATGCTTTAATCCAATAAGTACGACTCGATCGATGGGAAAACTAATTGATTTTCTGCTCTAGTAAATAATTTATGGGCGTCTTTTTAACAATAAACGAGGGAGTAATTTTTATCTAACTGGCTTGACATGTCTCAGGCCTCTCGATCAACGACAGGCCTTGTCATCTGTCTGACTTCGGTCTCCATAGAATTCGAGGCCTGAAAGCCCTCATTCCCCAGCAGGCTGTGGCCTCGTTCCTTTCTATACATTTTCCACCAGGAAACCATCGTGTTGCTCGTATTTCTCCTCCACGGTTTCGTTAACCACAAAGTACCCCGGCATTTGTTAGCAATGTATACATTTAAATGCTAATCGAGCGTCGCGGCATGGAGCAGCTGCCATAAAGTTCTCATTTTTTTTTCTGGGCTTTTCTTTCTTTATGTTCAACATTTCCTGAGTTGAATAACATCCAGGAACTTGTTTTTTCTAATTAGGTATAAATATCTGCCCCGAGGGAAAGCAGCACATCTAATTTCCCGACTTCCTTCTAGTGTTCAAATAATTTTCAGAATTAATGCCTCGACTCCTACACCTGCATTTATGACGAAAATATATTTTCACTTGTCAGGCAAAAAAAAAAAATGTGCTTCATAAGCCAAGGGCTCATGGCTCCAGAACTTAAGGTAGCAGAAAGACTAATATTTCCCCTGTCAAGGAGAAGGAAGTAGATTTGTAACCCACTGAAAGTCTTGGAGGAGAAATTTGCTCAGTTTGGTCCTTTTAGCTTTGGGAGGAGAATAATTAGGACACCCTTTGTCTGGAAACAGCCTTTCTCAAAGTTTTTACCGAAGGAACTCCTAAAATAATTTTCAGATATCGAGGAACCCTTAGTAAAAACCAGTTCATGAGGGGTCATTGAAAAAAAATGTTTTACATTGGTCGTTAGTAGGTAGAATGCCCCTTACATTGGTGGTCAGTGGGAAGAGTGTTCCTTACATTGGTGGTAAGTAGGGAGAATGCCCCTTACATTGGTGGTAAGTAGGAAGAATGCCCCTTACAGTGGTGGTCAGTAGGAAGAATGCCCTTTACAGTGGTGGTCAGTAGGAAGAATGCCACTTACAGTGGTGGTCAGTAGGAAGAATGTTCCTTATATTGGTGGTCAGTGGGAAGAATGTCCCCTTACAGTGGTGGTCAGTAGGAAGAATGCCCCTTACAGTGGTGGTCAGTAGGAAGAATGTTCCTTATATTGGTGGTCAGTGGGAAGAATGTCCCCTTACAGTGGTGGTCAGTAGGAAGAATGCCCCTTACAGTGGTGGTCAGTAGGAAGAATGCCCCTTACAGTGGTGGTCAGTAGGAAGAATGCCCCTTACAGTGGTGGTCAGTAGGAAGAATGTTCCTTATATTGGTGGTCAGTAGGAAGAATGCCCCTTACATTGGTGGTCAGTGAGAAGAATGCCCCTTACATTGGGGCTCAGTAGGAAGAATGCCCCTTACAGTGGTGGTCAGTAGTAAGAATGCTCCTTACATTGGGGGGTCAGTGGGAAGAATGCCCCTTACAGTGGTGGTCAGTAGGAAGAATGCCCCTTACAGTGGTGGTCAGTAGGAAGAGTGCCCCTTACAGAGGCCCTCCAGAATAAAACGATGGTAGTTGCAATTTTTTGTCTCCCACAATATTTGAGCAATTGTTCATCAAATCGATAGTTTTACAAAAAACATGCACTAAAAATATTTTTACAGCCCACAAACACAATATAATTCACAATATTTTGGTTGCACCCCCAATTTTTTTTACAGTGCAAAATAAAAGCTGGGGGTGGAGTCACGTAAATAGATACCAAAAATTGTAAGCCTGAAAACTGGCTGTGCCTGCAAAACTGCAAAGACATCACGATAACCACAATGATTAATAGGCAACACTTTAAATGCTTTTACAGCTCACCAGTTTAGACTGAACTGTAAATGATTTCTCTCACTCGGGCGCTCACGGACATACCCAATATGTGTTGCGAAATATAGAGACATGCCCTACCTGGTTTGTATACGTATGTGTGTACACGGGGCAACAGGGGTACTTTAAAAAAAAAGTTAATTTGATTTATTTTGATATATTTTATTTTTTTTAAATCATTTTTTTTCCCACAGAACTTTATTGCTATCTCAAGGGATCCAACAAGCCCCCTATGAGACAGCATTGTGCAGGTAGCAGGTACTCCCTATAGAGACATCAGGGGTCTATTAGACCCTTACTATCTATGCTGTCCTCTGCTCAAAAGCCAATTGCAGCAATTTTTATCTGTGGGATAGAAAAAAAGCACATGAAGCATCATCGAATTTTCACCTTTCAAAGAGAAGCATAGAACAACCATGGACAGTCTATGCGTGCTTCAACGCCAATTTGTATGTGGACTGTTGAGGATCATAGTCATGCAATTGACTTAAACACAACATGGAACATACCTTGCCCATTCATACCCCCAAAGAATGACACTAAAACTGTTCTTCATTGGAAGGGCAAGGCCAAAACATTATTGTATCATACAGGAAAACTTATTCCAACAACAATAACCACTGATAACTTGACAACAAAGGCTAGTGCCAGCCACGAGCACCCAACATAACATGGCTTGAGACCTGTTCTAACCCTAAGTACAGGACAGACATACAAATTAACCAAGCCCGCTGAAGGCATCAATCAGCTACCGTGGTCTGTTGCCAAGGTAAACCCCCAACAATAAAGCTATGACACGAGATATGTGAGGAAGAAGATAAGACCTCCAGGGGCTGTAGATGTCTGTGGATTGCTGTAGCAGCAGGTGAGTGAGACCTCCATATTCACCCGCTACGTCTTCTGCAGGCACATCTACTTTCTCTAGGCCTAGCCATTCACTTGGATTCTCCATCATAATTAAGGGATTGGGCTTCCTACAAGACTGCCCTGCTTTCAAAAGACAAGGACTCCTGTCACCATGGCTCAAGGCGCATACATGTCTGTAGGATTATGGGAAAACAGAGTGGTAACATATAAGAAGACTCTTTTACCTTTCTCTTGTTGGTGGGGCTCACATACAGGTAGCTAAGAACGGTCTTCAGCCCCACCTTCTCGTTGAACTTTTCATAGGTTGTTCCGTAGTCTGTTGACCTGAAGAAACGAAAAACACATTTATTTTGTTGCATTTTTATTTTAAAAAGCTATTGTTTATGGAGCACAATAGCTAAAGCTGAGAATACACACATGGCTGAATTAATAGGAGGAGTGAATCCCCTCCACCCTCTCTCTCCCTTTACTCTGTATTACTCTATATAGACTATTAAACATTGCTGGTCTCTGTTTTAAGAAAACCCGTATAGTTCATAGCTCCGTGTTATTGGAGCAATTCTAACAAATGTGTATTTGCAAAATAATATTTTGATTTAAGATTTAAAAAAAATACCTGTTGAAAAAAATATAACAGAACTATAACTGTTGACCCAAACTATTATAGTTTCCTTCAAAAGGTCGGCTCTATCAATGAATGAAATACAATATCATTGTTATTAAGCTCTCTGTGTGAAACGCGTCAAGGTTTCTTTCTTTGCCGTCTGTTTTTCTGAGAATGTCTGCGGATAATTTTACTGGAATGCTGTTGAATACACCAGATACAGGCAAGGGCGGAAAGCTATGATCCTTCAAGCATTGCGGTATGTAAAGTCGTCTCCCTTTCGGCAGCTTAGTCTTCTCTTCAATTACAATATCCAGCTCAAATTGTTTGATTTGGAGTAAAACACTTTTCAGGGAGAGAGAGAGCAAGAAAGCAAGCAAGGAAGGGAGGAAGGAAAGAAGGGAGGGAGGGAGGGAGGGAGGAAAGAAGGGAGGAAGGGGAGGGAGAGAGGAATGGGGAGGAATGAGAGAGGAAGGAAGGAAGGAAAGAAGGAAGGAGGGAAGAATGGGGAGAGAGAGGAAGGGGAGAGAGAGGAATGGGGAGGAAGGAAGGAAAAGAAAGGAAGACAAGAAAAAATTGGAGGAAGAAAATGTGACAGAAGGGAAAGGAGGGAGGGAGAGAGGTAAGAAGGGAGAGAGGAATGGGGAGGAAGGAGAGAGATAGAAGGGAGAGAGTAATGGGGAGAAAGGAGAGAGAGGAGAGAGGAAGGAAGGAAGGA